GATATTTATCGATTTTCTCGTGGAACTGTGGAAAAAATGCCATTTATCTGAGAATGCCAAATCTATAAATTTGAATCTCAAAAATCGATGCAAAATCAAATCGGGTTCAACTAGAAGAGCTCCAATCAAAATAAAAGCAGGGTGACATACGAAGAAAGGCAATAAGACAATAAGACAATAAAAAATAACAAAAGAAACACGCAACTGCAGTTTATTGCCAGTAAGCAATTTGCATTTCTCATATAACAGCCACACCAATAAGCCACCCCCCGCCCCCACCTCCCCCCCCACTCGACATCCTGCTGAGCAAACTTGACATTGACTTTGCAATTGCTGCACTAGCGGTACACACACACACACACACATGCATGTACAGTTGCGGTCAAAATAATTGAAATGCTGCTATATTATATGGCTCATATAAAAATATGGCTTCTTTTTTTGCAATATAAAGAAAAATTCAATTCAAGCTGTAAGGCAACAACTGATTGGTTTCTCATCTGGCAATGATTTCAAATACTATTATTTTTTCACATACGAAACGTAGTTTTGCTGAGAATGCGTCACTATTATTCCACTACTGTAATTTTGATTGGCTCATTTGTGATACATTTAAAGTCTTTAATATTTTTGTTCTTTTCACCTTTTAATGCTTACGTATGTATTCAGTATTTATTGCTTGTGTTCAAACACAGTTTTCAACATTTTTTAACTACATTCTTTTTAACTACGTTTTTGTTTTTTATTTAGCAATTTCCAAGACATACTAATATTTTGAGCGCAGCTGTGTGTGCAAGTTTGTTACAATGCCGAGTTCTCGTTAATTGCGAGAGGCAAATGCAAAATAAACAGAAAACGATACATTTCAATTAAGGAACAAATTATTTCGACAGTATCCAATATCAAAAAGCGGAGCCAAGGGCTATTCGAGACGAAGGCATAGAAACCGACCGAGTAACAAATACAAATTTATACTTGTACTCAAATATCGTTTATCTGTATGTGGTATAGGATTTCTGTAATAATACAACAGCCCGATAATATCCTAATAAATACTTACGCTCAGTCTGAGTGAGGCTCCAAGGATCGACTAGAAAGCAATAATATTTCATATCATATTCCCTACAGGCCACTCAGAACTCTATAGGCTATTCAAATCAATAGTTTTCATCGTTTCCTTTGCGATATCAATTTAAATGTGATAAAGAGGCGTGCTTAAAACCAGCTTAAAACTTTTCCGTTTCCCGTTTCCGTTTCCGTTTCCGTTTTTACATGCATAAATTAGTGATGCCAATTTAGCTTTTTCTAGCGAATGATCAAATGTTTTAATGCGTAATGCGACAAACAGAAAATAAACAATCAAGCAAAGCGTGGCATAAACCTTGTTTTTAGTCAATATTAAAATCAGTTGAGATTGTTTTTGTTATTGTTTTCTTTATTATGCTATTTGTTTTGATACAAATATCAATTAACAGCTATTTTCGCTCATTAAAGTTTGTCAACACTGATGTACAAACAAGCACACGTGCACATACATCATGACTGACACATTTGCACATACATTGTATATTAAATTGACACGCTTGTGCATGCAACCATGATGTACACATACATACTCAAATGTACATACATACATGCATACGGTTTGTCTTCTTCTTTTTGTTTTTGTTTTTAAGTACATACTTTGTGCCACAGATAAAGGTAATTTTCACCCTCTCTGCGCTCTCGACTTGAAGTTTAATGGGCCACCAACACATAGTAAATCTAAAAAATGTAGAAACAATTACACAAAAAAAAAAAAGCATTTATTTTAATTTGGACACATGCCAATAATAGTGCCCCGCGTCCGCTTAGCAGTCCTAACCCATCTCACAATGCCTTTCATATTTGAAATTTTCATTTGCATTAGAAAAACACAAATAAAAACCAAAAAAAAAAAAAAAGAAGAAGATAAAAGCAGCGGTCAGCGCGTGATTATTAGTCATTTGATGAAGACGCCGTTCCGTTCGTTTTTGTCGCTGTCGCTGTCACTGCCGACGTCGCGACGTTGGCGTTGACGCTAACGCTCGCAGTCGACGCCAAGTGCGATTTTTTGCGTCACAGCATGGAAAGTGGAGGGGAACTGGAGGTAGGCAGAGAGAAAGAGAGAGGGAAAGCGAGAGGGAGAGAGAGAGAGAGAGGAGCTCAGTTTCGCATAAATATTAGGTTTGTTAATACCAGTACTTAATGACAAGCACCAAACACCAAAACAAAGTCAGCCGCTGTCCAATGTCCAGTAAAAACTGTTATGTATGTATGTGTGTCTGTGTGTGTGTACATCTGCATAACTCCAGCAGTTTACTTGCCAAATGTGAATAAAGGGTATATGCACTCACCTGTAAATTCGAACAAAAAACAAAAATCTTTGCTAAAAAAGGATATGTGTGTAAATATATATTTATATATATATATATATTTCAGTTTAAGGATCACGCAAACATCTCAACGTTTTCAGACTCAGTACAGAGCATTGCGCAGTCGGAAAATTACTTATTTCGCTAGTTGAGTTGCTTAAATAATTAACGAAAGAACAAAAAACAACCGATCGTGTGACCGACTAACCAGCGTCACACATACACACACTCGTAGCTATACATCTATGCATGCACATATATACACACATACACACACACACACACACATACCTCTCCCACTGTCTATTTGTCTTTATGTCTACGTGCGAATCAGATCGTCTGCCACTGTGCCGCTCGTTGATGAAGTTGTGCTGATTTTAGATAGGATCACCTATCTGGCAATGCCATTGGAAAAAAACGTCAATTTTTATGAAAGAAAAAGACGAAAGCCAATTTGAAATCAACTCTTTTCACATAAAAAAATTGCTTTATTTCGAGAATTAAAAAAAAAATCTGACTTAGGTGCTAAAAGAAAATTTCCTTTTAAAATTAGTTTAAAAAAAGATCGGCTTTCTTCTCTTCATTCGTGACAGTTTTTGTCTTAGGGATCATTCGCTAAATTCTAGCATGTTTAGGTGCTAAAAGAACATTTCTTATAAAAATGAAAAAAAAAGTCGTCGTTTTTCTTCCCAGTTTTTTATTATTTTGTTTTTGTTTTCAATCCCGTAGATAAAACTGCGTGAATTTAGTATTTCTATTAATATTCATATTTGTTTACTGTTTATCTCATCGAGATTGTCTCCATCAATGCAGCCGACTTAAATAAATATATATTTTTTTAATTTCGACGTAGTCTTCGGCTTTTCCCATCCTTTTCGCGTTGAAGCCAATATCTAACACTGTATAAGTAACACTTGGGAAAAGTATTAGTGTTGTTCATACGTCAAAAGAGTGTTGTATAAATTCCGCGTGACTTTTATGACAGAAACATTGACAATGAATATCGACAGAGAAATAAGACGAGAGGACGCGACTATGAGCTACCCTGTACTGTATTGAGGTCAGCGGCTATGCTGATTCATCTCTAAGCTGATCAGTTTGAAAAAAAACTGAAAAAAAACCTGAAAAAAGTGCAACTTAAACATGAAGAAAAAGTCATTAATATATTTCCATTTAAGTTAATCAAAGATTCACCAAAGATATATATTAATAATCGATTCTCTCAGGATTGGGTGGGAGCTTATATAACGGAGCGAAAGTAAATATATAAAAATTCCGCCATTTTGTACACGCAGGATAAGGGATCCATAAAAAGAAAAAAAAATGAATCTTTATTGACAGTTTATATGTAATATCTCGTAGATAGATGGCTAAGTTGATTATCCGTAGATATTTAATTGCTCGTTGACAGTTTATATGTACTATGGCTAAGTTGATTATCCGTAGATATTTAATTGCTCGTTAAGTACACTTGCAGAATTGAATTGTTTGCCTTGCTTATATTCAGCTTGTATAGAAGGTATATAATAATATTTACAATAATACACAAAAATTCGCTTTCCTATGCTTATATTTGAATTAGTTGCTGCGCATATATTATGTATGTCTGTGTACATAAATACATATATATATATGTTTGTAAACTTTTGTTATTTATTATATATATATATATATATATACATGTGAGGGAGTATAGATATACTCTCGTCCGTAGCTACACAGAGGAGTGAGACAGATTCAGTAATTTTCTGTTCTGTTGTTGAGCAAAATACGGTCCAAAGCTACAATTGGGTCATCATCAATAGAAGAACATTGATCTGTGAAGCACATCTCTCAGTAGAACATGCCACATTGTTGGCAACTAGCAAGCGAGGTGCAAAGTTCAAGATACTTTATCGAGTGCTCAAATTCTGTGACGTATCAACGATAATCGATGGACTAAGTAACGGCAACACATGACCATTAACTGGGGGAATGTCTCTATTAATATGCAGACAATTGGGATACACATAAGATGAAAATCATTTAAGGTACTTGATGCCCCATTCATTGGACAGAGTGAGAGAGAGAGAGAGAGAGAGAGAGATAGTGGGAGAGAGAGTGGGAAATTTGCTAATTGGAAAACTCAGAGTTCGGGTCCATGCTTTACATGCCACTGCCTGCTGCCTGCTGCTGCAGTTTTGATTGAGCGACGAACTAGGCGAGGCGACTATAGAAACTCTAACATCGTAGACAGACAAAGGAAACAACAATAAAATGGACACATGACGATAAGGCCACCAACTAAAAAAAATACATTTAATTCCGATGGTGTTCAACATATTTACATAGATACTCATACATGTACATATTGCCAAAAAACAACTGTTATAAATAGAGGCGGCATACAGAGGCAGAGACAGAGAATTAAATAAATATATTGTGAGAAATATGTTCACCTTCGCTTCACTAAATTTCATTAAATTTGTGTCTGCATAATATTCTACAGTAGCGGCAGCCAAGCAGCAGCAGCGCTATAAAAATCTATAACAAGTTGCAAAGGCGAACGGCAAAGTCAAGAAAAGCCGAAAATCTCAAAACATTTTCTGATTTTAGCCGAAAAATGAAATAAATTAACGAACGAGGACTCGGAATTCACGAGTCGTAAATATAGCGCGACGAAAACTACACACACACACACACACATACATATACCAAATTTTAGCCGGCATTCGTATCACGTACACAGGGCCCGACGGCGCACAGCACCAGCTCGGCGAGCCCGACCGACAAAGAGAGAGCGAGAGAGAGAGAGAGAGCCTAGATCTTTGCTCAGCAGCATCTTGCCATTCGGCATTCGGACTTTTTGCCTTCGGCTCGCATCGTTAGCTTATCAACGGTATTTGATGGGGCGCCAGCAAGCTGTTCCAACAGTTGCCATCGATTAATCGCCCATTGAGCACGCGCTTTTGCCGCTTCAGCAGCATTCAACTTCTGATACAGATTCGCTTTTCGTTCCGTTGTATTCGTTCTTCGCTGGGAGTTGAAATTCGCGGCGAAATAATTTTGGCTATTTTTTATCCGTCCATGCCATGCGCGATAAAATATCACAACTATTTTGCTTGCAAAAAAACGCATGCAAAAATAATACAGCAGATAATAGAGGTGGGTTAATGTATCTCTCTCTCTCTCTCTCTCTGTGTGTGTGGGTATCTTCTGTGTGTGTGTGTGTGTGTGCGTTTGTGTCTATGCCTGCGTGTGTGTGTGTGTGTGTGTATATATATGTTAGTGGGTGCCGCTATTGATGATGATACCGCCCAATGCGTAAGGCATTCGTTAGCCAAGGCTAAAAACCAAAAATGTGCCTAATACATGTCTATGTACATATGTATGTATGTACGTGTGTGTGTACATATGTATGTACGTATGTGTATCGAAAATAGCCACACTGTGCAGAAATTTTGTTTATCTGTTTGAAAAAGACACTAATTTAGCTAGTCGCCGATGATATCCCTATCTTTAAACAGTGTGTGTGCTTTTTTTTTTTTTTTTTTTTTTTTTTGATAATTTTTGTTGTAACGAGAATTTTTTTGATTTTGTTATTGTTTGAACTAATCTGTGATTGCATTTTGTTCTGTGATTTGCCACGTGCGACTCTTAAATGATACCGTGTAGGACATAATGTGCCAACAAAAGCAACGAGCAATGGGACAATGTGTGCCAATGGGTCTCTTGGGACAGAAGGGCCCGAAGCGACAGAGACCGACTCATCAGGGACCGGGCGGATGCGGAAGCCGTTGGAGAGGAATGGCTCAACGCAGAACGACACTGTTCACCTCGAGAGAAGGTAAGAATCGGAGTTATATATACATTTACCACAATCCTGCTAAAAATCCTTATAAAAATGTTTTGATTATTGATATTTATCAATATGGTCCTTATCGAAAATAACTGTCATATAACCGAAACGCTCTAATCGATCTATAAATATTGCTTTTAATAGACCTTAGCAAATTACCCTTTCTTTATCAAACTATTAAATCTTTTCTTTCTCTTTGTTTTTGTTCTTTAGGTTGGGCCTCTTCAGTGGGGTGGCTTTAATTGTCGGAACTATGATAGGTAAGTACAATTTTTTTTATAGGTATATCAATTTAATATATCAACGACTAAGCACTGAATACTCCTTGCAAAGTACCACAAATTTTACAGGGTATGTTGGGTGTGCATATGCGAAAAAGCAACGAGCGACGAGTGTGACACACAAATCGCATTTCGGCCATCTAGAATTGCGTCAAGAAATTGTTTTTGTAATTCCCGATTGCGCTGAGCAAAATCATCGTCACATTTTCTTTCTTGAGCTTTCTGGAGGCACGTTTGCCCCAAAAAAAGGAAAAAATACATATATCAGTGCATAAATTTAGAAACATTTGTACCGTATATTTCTCTATATATTTCTGTATATGTCGGCAGTTGTCGCATATATCCGAACATGCGAAATTTCTGAACGTTGCTTCAACTTCTATAATCCAATATAATCTTACAAATATTGATGTGAAAGCCAACAAAATTAGGTCCATGTTTATGTCAAAAATAGTCTGCAGTCGGCTGATAGTATTTACGACCAGTAAATACCCTAAGCTAAGCTTTTTTGGCAATGCTTGTGCTTCATCTTAACTGCGTCCCACTTTCTATGGACAAAAGCGGATATAAAAATATGTTTTGAATGATCTTTAGAAAAGCATTTAGCACAGTGTACGTGACGTATACTTAATATATGTATGTAGCCTATCTGAGAGCCTAACAAGATCTCACACATCGACTAACTTAAACAAGTTTTTAAGTACTCAAAAGATTGAATATACATATATATATATATATATATATATATATATATATATTTGTTTCGTCTCGTTGATCTCATGGAATAAATGATCCACAGTTAAATTCACAGAAAGGAAAATGTTAACTAAGGCCAACTGTAAATATTTGTAATTTGTTAACAATATTTATCACACAAATATATATCTCACAGCACAAAAGAGATAAGTTAATGTATACATATAGATAATATTTCACGAAAAATTGTGTTAATTTATCACCCAAAATAGTGACAACTTAAATTATTTTGTTTTCGATGGAACACAAAAATTTCTTTATGGGTTGGCTTAGGCCTTGTTAGCACCTTCCAATAATTGAATAATCCACACATTATTTTCGAAGAAAAACCAGTTTTTAGTTTATCTGCAAAATTGCAAAGCTTCGACTTTAGAAAGTACCTAAATGGTATATGTATGTGTGTTAGATCTATTCAGAAGTTGGACAGAGTATCTTTAAGTCGAATATCTTTCTGCTAGAGTATTCTTACGTGTTTTTTTTTTTTTTTATATCAATAAACTTATTTCTGATGAACACTTGCCGCAATCTTTATTTGTTTGGATAGCAATCAAACTCAAATATTATATGACCCGTGCATACACGTCACATGTATATAAGTATGTATGTATGTATATATACAGCATGAGTTTTAAACTAAATATGAATCCATCTGCACATTTGACCTTAGACGTTGTCGTTGTTTGGCTCACGCAATCTTGAAGTTCAGCACGCAATCCTTAAACTTAACCAGACGCACCCAGCTCTCCCCCGCTCAGACCACGCAACTGAATGTATGTATGTATATATATATATACATATATATTTATGTACGCAAGTACGTATCTTATTGGTACTATTATTCAGCTTTTAAGTGAAAGCGGCTGTGAAGCTTTTAATGGACACACTCGTGTGGCCTGTGCAAAAAAGCTTTCAGCTGATGACGTTTCACGCTGATGCGTGGGTTCAAAGCTTCCGGACAGCCGGAAGTCTGCGACGAATCAATACATATACATATGTATATATATATACACACACACACACACATATATATGTATAAATACATATTGCTGACGCAAAAGGGCAACCACAGCAGCGCAAAGCGATGAAAAGCAAAGCAGCTGCTGTCTTTTAAAAATGCCTATGCCACTTACTCATCTCATCTCATTCACATTCATATTGGTAATGGTTTTCAATGGATTTGATCAAGTGTGGATCTTGCACTATTTTCAGGGTCTGGAATATTTGTGTCACCCTCTGGTTTACTGGTTCGCACCGGTTCCGTTGGAGTTAGCTTCGTAATTTGGCTTGCCTGTGGCGTCCTCTCATTGTTGGGTAAGTACATCATCACTCATTGTCATCATTAACATATTACAGTTATCAAGAACTAAATGCATTCCGATCAAGTTTATCAGGCGCACGAATAAATCAAGTCAGAGGGTTCTAGACGAGACAAAGACAGTCATTATTTCCACCTTCATAGTTTATATCTCTGTATAATCCGGTAAACAAAACAATAAACAAGATATTTATGACGCGTATTTCGAATTGCTGATTATATCATAAAAAAATGAATCAAGTTCAAGGGCTTTAGTCGGGAGTGCTCGACTTGGCCACAGCCTATTTACGCATTTTAACGAGCTTCTCGAATAATTTTCATATTTTTTTAGCAGATCAAGAAAATTATTATTATTATTATTGCTATTGTGTCTACCTCTGAGCTAACAGCTCTTCAAGCACGAATTCAAGAACTTTTCTCGGATTGATTAAGACATGTTTCCCTAGGATAATACATCTTATTTTTCGCAAGTTAGCATTTAGAATTCGGGCAGATTCCGTCACTGATGAGTCTTCTAAGTCTGTTATTATTATTTGCCCAAATCATTGTCCAAAACCTGGTGCCTCTATCCAGCTATCATCCTAAATATGTTCGGGGAATATGAAATAAAATAACGACATTTCCAGTGCATTGACTATGACTCACTTCAAAGCATATGAAGTTATGGTATTTATTATATATGTAGGTCAGCAAACACAAAACAAAACAAACATTAAAAATGTAAATTAATACGATTACGAGTGAATGGGGTAAATCTTATAATCTCAAAGTGTTTAGTTCTAGAAAAGTCGGATATGTTCACTTCGGACTATTGCTCATCTTTGTGATACCCATTAAGAATCCCATTAAAACAAAATATATTCATTTTTTTATTTTTATTAATTTTGTATAAATAATTTAAAATGTTGTGTTCAATTGTAGGCGCTCTGGCATACGCTGAACTTGGCACAATGAACACCTCGTCTGGTGCGGAATGGGCGTACTTTATGGACGCTTATGGACCGGCGCCGGCGTTTCTATTCTCATGGGTATCGACATTGGTGTTGAAGCCATCTCAAATGGCTATAATATGCTTATCATTTGCACAGTATGCGGTTGAGGCCTTTGTGACGGAATGCGATCCACCCAGGGGTGTTGTCAAAATGGTTGCACTGGTCGCAATTGGTAAGCGATACCCATTCAATTCTTGCCCAGCACGAAAACAAAACTAATTTTGGTTCATTTTTTTCTATCCTTTCTATCCTTTTGTTTTTTCGTTTTTCGTTTTTTCTTTTTTCTTTTTTTTCTTTTTATTTTTTTTCTTTTTTACTGTTTTTGTTTCTGTTTTCACAGTAATGATATTGTTTGTGAATTGCTACAGCGTCAATTTGGGCATGGCCGTGCAGAATATATTCACGGCGGCCAAATTGGTTGCCGTCGTCATTGTTATATGCGGCGGCATTTGGAAGCTCTGCCAGGGAAGTACGCAGCATCTGTCGAATGCATTTACTGGGCCGATGCCAAGCATTGGCGCGATTGCGACAGCATTTTACACTGGCCTCTGGGCATACGATGGCTGGAACAATCTCAACTATGTCACCGAGGAGATTAAGAATCCCAGCAAGAATTTGCCGCGCTCAATTATGATTGGCATACCGCTGGTGACGCTGTGCTATGCACTCATCAATATATCGTATCTGGCGGCAATGTCCGCGCAGGAGATGATTGAGTCTGAGGCGGTCGCTGTCACCTTTGGCAATCGCATCCTGGGCGTCCTCGCCTGGCTAATGCCACTGAGCGTCACTATCAGTACATTTGGTAGTGCTAACGGTACGCTCTTTGCCGCAGGACGGTACGTTACATATTCCAGCCTTCTATATCTCTTTCCTTTCTCCCTCTCCCTTTCTCTCTCTCTCTCTCACACACTTTCTCCCTCTCTCTTTCTCCCCAACTTTACCTTCTTCCCTCTTCGTCATTTTTATGTGTGTATTATTTCTAAACCTTTCTGTCTACTGTAGTCTTTGCTTTGCAGCTAGTCGAGAGGGACATCTGCTCGACATTTTGTCCTATGTACATGTGCGTCGCCTGACTCCGGCTCCTGGCCTCATATTCCACGTAAGTGCTCAGAATACAATAGACACACACACACACCTACAGTCATGGCCATATAAATAGTGCAAGTACACATAATATAAGTTCAAGTTGGTGCTAACTGAAAATGCTGTATAAGTCCATATCCATGATCAAAAAAGTTATTTAAAGCAGGCAACAGCTAAAGTCAAACATAGCAGCCGAGAAAGCCAATTTCATTATTATTTTCTGCATTTTGCATTTCTATTTTTATGAAATATTGTCAGTTTCTGCTATAAAAAAAAACAATGAATTTACACTCAGAAAAAAATCGCCTTGCTATTTAGAAAATCATCTTAAAGTGAAAATCGCCTTAAAAATTAGAATTATGTTCATTATAGAAAGAATTTCGAAATATTCAAAATAAATGTCTTAAAAATGCAGAAGTGTTTGTTTTTCTATTTTTTAGAAATGTTTTCAATATTAAGAAATATGTTTTTAAAAAGACGAAACTAATAAGAAAAAAACTAATGTGGAACTTCTGTAAAAAAGAATTCAGTGAGAATTATACCTATTTTACAGGGTATCTGCTTGACTAGATGATTCATATTTTGTTCACTATAACCTATTTGAAAGGATCATTTTGAAAACGCATAGTCGCTGTTGACGAGCAACGAGCAGCTTCAAAATGTTGAAGAATTTTGATTTGAAACCTTACTAACTAATTGTATCCAATTAATTATGCCCCATTTGTCTTTCAACAGTCGCTAATTGCCTCAGCAATGGTGCTGCATGGCACAATTGATTCGCTGATTGATTTCTTCAGCTTCACCGCGTGGATATTCTATGGTGGCGCGATGCTGGCACTTATCGTGATGCGCTACACCAAACCCAACCATCCACGGCCATACAAAGTGCCAATTATCATTCCCGTTGTGGTCTTGGTCATATCCGTGTATCTCGTTGCAGCGCCCATCATTGAGACGCCTCGCATTGAATACTTGTATGCATTGCTCTTCATCTTTGCGGGCCTCATATTTTATGTGCCCTTCGTCAAACTGGGGATGACGCCTCGCTTTATGAGTGAGTAGACTGAATTGCAACAGATACTTCATATACATATATATATATATATATATATATAGATACTATATTTTTCTTTTTTCCTTCTTTTGTGTTTTTGCAGATAAGGTGACACTGTTCTTTCAGCTGCTGCTGGAAGTGGTGCCAACTTCATCGATGAGCATGTTTGAGTAAAATTACTTTCTCTATGCTCAACAATGTATGTTAGACACCAAATCAATCTTATTCGGATGCAGAGAGATAGCTAGAGAGAGAGAGAGAGAGAGAGAGAGAGAGAGAGAGAGAGAGAGAGAGAGAGAGAGAGAATATGTACTTAGTTCTGCGGAATCTAAATAGCAAAACAAATCCAGAATACTGAAAACAAAAAGCAAAGCAAACATTCACAGATATTTAAAGTTACAAAAAAAAAGAAGAAAATTATATGTATGTCGTTGATTGACAACTATTCCAAATAGTTGGCGCCCACAATTATACAGATGGAGTTTTTGTGCCACGTGCAGGTTACATTCAAAATATAACCTAAATGTACATTTATATGTACAAATATGCTTATCTTCATTAACAAGGCAATGACAAAGTGTTAACTCTTGCAAACTACTAGTGAATTATGTTGACTAGACAGAGTGCAGTCAGTTAAGTGACAATGCAATACAAAAAAAAAAACAAAAAAAAAAATCCAAAGAATAAATAAAATAATACACAAAAACATCAGCAACAAAAAAATTGTGCATTCAAGCAAAGACACTAGAAGTTAAACAATTTGCATTTTATTTATACTTTATAAGAACTAAACGAGCAAATGTTTGACTGGTTAAAAAATACTATTTGAACTATAAGGTCTTCTTCTTCTTCTTCTTCATCTGTTTTTTCAGTTTTTTTTTTAAGCTTATTGCTATTGATTATTGTGAAAATTCCTTATATACGGTACGATTGTTAAAATACTTACTTATAGTGTAATATAAATGAATATTTTGGCTAACGATGCAGAATTCATCTAGTGTCTTTGATTGAGCTCATGAATTAAGCTGCTGCAAATATGGCAAACAGTTCCCATTGTGTGTGTACTTAAGTGCATAGATAAGGTGAAGTCAGCTCAGATCCCAACCACAGGATTAACTTATTTTCGACAAGAAGACGACCCCACCAAAAAACACAAAAACAAAAGACCAAAACAAGTATTTTAAAGTCTCGCTGGAAACCATTGTTGCATTGTTGCACACTGCTGTCATGTCTTCAATTGCATTGTTCTGTATTTAATTGAATTAAGTGAATACGAATCCATGGAGATCAGCTTAAATAGCAATATAAATGTTGACATTGAACGATGAAAACATTGACTAGGTATAGCATAACTACAGTTAAAATGTTTCTAACTTTGGCGCTCGGTTCAAATGTTTGTTGCGCGCGACTTTGTGAAAATCGTAGGACTGCAAATAGGCATAATGCTTTTAATTGATACCAAAGGTTACAAATCGAACAAAAACAAAAAAAAAACAAAAAACAAACAAAAAAAAAAAAAAAACAATAACAGTTAGATTTATACATGCAAATGTGTATGTATTTATTACGTTTGGTAGTGCTTATCGAAATGTTGTAAACTATTCTACAACAAATACACATAGCGTAAGATTTGCGATCATTGAGATGCATACACATTATAATTTCAAATCAGTGCGAATCGCCTTTAAATGCTTAAGTTTGAAAAAGACAGCGTATATCGTGTCGTCTCGCTCGAGTTGTGCTCCATCACATTCTACCTAACATCCATGTGCCAGGCGTCCATGGGTGCACCAAGATTTTGGTTTTCTTTTTTTTTTTTTTTTTCTTTTACTGATGATATGGTCAACCAAAAGAAAGGACATACGTATTGGTGTTGTTCGACGCTAAATAGAACATAAATATAGCATATATTATTACAATTATGCCTTGAGGGGAGGACGTACATACATATACACATAAATACGATACGCATACATATAATTTGTTAAGTTTATAAATTTTATAATTTTATTACAAACTATATATTTACAAGAACTTAAAAGAAATACACGAAAAACAAACAAATCTCTTTCTCTATTTACATACGCATACATACATATGTATGTATTTATGTATTTATATGTACACACGTATGTACTTGCAACGGAGTATAAGTTGTATTATATAACAAACATTTATGAAATAAAGTTTTTAAAACAAATGCCCGTCCACTTTATTGTAATCTGAATGAATGATCACTAGGACAATAAATATATATATATATGTTTATATTACATTATATAGAATGTGACTAGCACGATACTTGCTGTGATTGTGAAAAGCTTTCCAATATAATTGAGGTACAAAAGATTATTTGTGCACATGTGAAAGCTTGCACAGAGTGCATCTGGTTTAAAGTCTAGTTCCTAATGGTAACACAATTTACAAGTTGCAATGTACTTTCGACTCACAAACAATTCATATATTGTTTCTCTGAGAATATTGATTGGCTTGGATCACGCACTTTTACTGTTATTGGCTTGACTGCTGCGGATGCGAGTCACATCGAATTCCGGAAAGAGTATGCCAATCTCCCGCATTGCGGAGGCTTCACTGTCCGAGCCGTGACAGGCATTCCGCGTGTCGGAGAGTCCATAGAGAGCACGAATGGAATCCGGTTCGGTGTAGACCGCCCTAAACACCTTGGTGGGCCCCATGAGTTGGCGCCACTTTTGGATGCATGACTCCGACTGCAGTATGAGGGCGTAACAGGGTCCGCTGCAAGCAAATCAAAATGCATTAGATGAATACAAATTTGCATTTCAATTCTTCATTGTCACGTACCTCTGCATAAAGCTTGTTAGACGCTGGTAGAAGAATTTACCCTTGTGTTCCGCGTAAAAGCACTCGGATATTTCTTTTGTTATGCGCACCTCCTTGGCTTGCAGGACATCAAAGTTGCTGGCAATCAGCGCCTTCAATTGCCGCAGTGCATAAGTGTTACGCAGCACGTGCGGCTTCAGCAGTGCTAGCGTTATTTCCATAACCAAATTGCGATGTTTGCCTGTTTGTCGTTGTGTCCTTCACGCGACTAGCTCAAGGTTGTTATTTACTAAACAGCAGCTGCTGCAACTAATAATAACTAAAATTCCATAATGGATAAATATCACTAGATCGACAAGAACATGGTATTGAAAATACATTCATTTTTTCATATCGATATTTTCGTGCATATATTTTGAACTATTGTTATTTAATATAGCTGAGCATACAATTTGTCAAAGCATTATAACAAAAATAATACAATTTTAATAACTTATTGTCGATTCTTGTGCCTTGCGCTTATAATTTAAATAACTATAGCAGTGAGTTAAAGTGCAACTATCGATACGCATCAGCTGTTTCTTCGGTTATCGATATCCGCCTTTTTGCCGGAATTACACAAGCGGCCAAAGTTGCCTTAAAATTATTTGTTTTAACTTAAGCTGAATTAATCAATCTTCAAAATGCCGTTCATGAAGGGGCGAGAGCCAATACGGCGCACACTTAAATATCTGAACGCTGGAAAACTGGTGTTAAAGGATAAGGTGCGGATATTCAGCGTCAACTACAACACATACGGCAATCATCATGCTGGCGCCAGGTGATTTGATGAGAAAACATCTATTAGCGTTATTGCTTAACTAACAAATCCAATTCGTATGTGCCCCATTCAGGGACTTTGTCTTTTGGAATATACCACAGATACAATTTCGGAATCCTGATGTTCAGGTTATCACACTGAAAAACATGACACCGTCGCCGTTTGTGCGCTGCTATTTTGACGATGGTCGGGATATACTCATTGACATTGATACTCGGAATCGGGATGAGATCATTGAGCACTTGGTCAAGGTGGTTGGCAAGACACGGTAAGCAGAGAAAATAGCAACCATCTGCGACTCGATTCTGATTTCTTTTTTTTCGGTTCCAGAGAGCAACTGGTCGCGGAGGCACGTTTGGCGGAGAGTAAAGATAATCCGGCCAATTTTGGGTATGGCTGTGAACGGCACTGCATCTGCGAAATACCCGGGCAAGTGTCCTGCCCGGGCACCGTGCCGCTGCCGGAGCAAATGCGTGGCAAATTCAAGTTTGCTCCCAAATAAAACCATTACTTTATTTTTTTTTTATTTGCTGTTTTAATTTTATGTTAATAAATTAAATGAATAGAGTGATTTTTTGCAAGTGCTCGAGAGAATGTTGAGTTTCTTCAGATGAGTTTCAGTTCAGCGTCGCTTGGGCTGCTGCTGTCGATGGTATGGTGCCGATGACTTATTTTTCATGTATTTGCCATGTGGGCCAGTCCGTTGCTGAGTATCACGATCTTTGTTAAATTGGTAGCGCTGAATAAATGGCACGTTTGGCTCACGTCCGATGGGATTCAGTTCCAAATTGTCATCGGTCTGTCGCTCCAGAGTCTTAAGTTTCGCCTCAATGGCACGAATCGCCTCCGCTTTGCTGATCTTCTCCTCCCGCTTGCCGCTGCCTAGCGCTGGAATCTCAATGCGAGGCTTCGGCCTTTGCAGATCATCCTAAACGTTTGATTCATAATAACATAATTATTTTGATTTGATTTTGTGTCGATTTTCATTTTGTTCACTTACGTATTTAATGTTCTTTGCCAAGCGCACAGCTATTGAACGGCTTCCCACATGGGTGCCATCCAGTTTCATCAGCGCATTTGTGGCGCCCTCGTTCTGGGCGAATGTGACGAAGGCGTAACCCCGCGACTGACCGACCATGGGACCGCCCTTGTGGAATAGCATGTCAAACTTGTCGATGGCACCGCATTTTTGCATTAGTTTGAGAAGTTGAAACCGATAGTTGTCAAATGGCAATGTATATATATATATATTAGCACGATTCGGGAACAATTCAAATATCAAACATGTGTGAGCCAATCATAGTTCACAACTCACTCGGTGATGCGCGAGTCCAAATTTCCCACCCAAATGCGTCTGTGCTCCTCGGATATGGCATTGGCCTGTGCGGATGCATTAATGCTGTTGCTGCTACTGCTACTGCTACTGCTGGGCGCAGCGTTTGTTGTGTTTTCCTATAATTAAGTAAAAACATTAGGTTTTTTGTATATTAAACAATATTCTAGTCCACTTTTTACATACAGCATTTGACATTTTTGTTGCAAACTGCATATCGATGTATCTATTTTGCGAGCAAGCGATTTGTCATCGATGATTTTTTCTTTCGATACCTCGTGCTTCTTTCACAATAATCGGCTGTGCGATAATTTGGTATATTTGAATATTTGTTTAATAAAAGTGCTGACATTTCTTGTCAGCATATTACTGGCATGCATCATTTGATTAGATTGGTATACAATTCTAATTAGTTAGCTAATACAATGTGTTGTGCAGCAGACTTTTTACTTGAGTTTATGCATTTTAATTTACTTGAGAAAATGATTTTAAACGACCATCTCTTCAGTTTTTAAAAAAACTTAATTGAAAATCAAAAATCAAAAAACTATGTTTTTCTGAGGCGATGCTTCGATACCTAGAGATTTCCCCTGTATAACCACCCCAATGGGTGGTCGGGCCTGCGTATACAGAGATATTTAAATTCCATGAGCATGCCCAGTATCCGCTTTGGTGTTCACTTAATCCGTGACCTGAAGCACATGTATGTATGTTGTGAGCATTCCCAATGGTTTCACAATGTGAAAACATAAACAATCTTCGATGGGACAATGCAACTGAAGGCAGCCAGACGCTTGTGGCCCTGGGTGGGTGATGCCACAGTCCGCAGCCCGCAACACACAAGTCCCTTTGATGTTGCCTTCGCTGCTGTCGTTGTGGCCTGATGCTGAAATTTAATACTTTGCACATTTTCTAAACTGTCGTTGGCTATGCGTCCGTTGGCACTGCCGTTGCCTTCGCCACAGTCCCAGGGCGAGCAGGATGCAGAATATGTGCAACCGCAGCAGCCTCACTGCATTTTTCTATTCCCGTTTTCATTTATGCAACAGCAGTCGGAAGAGAACAAAATGACTGCGCTATTAAAATTAAAATATAAAAAAAACGACTAGAAATAAAATTATCGTCGGTATGCCAAAGATGAAATACCCTTGCTGATGTATCTTCTATGTTATAAATTTATCGGCAATAATCATATTCTTTATAGCGTTCGACTTGACAGATAGCTAAACTTTAACACAACAAATTACATTTTCAGAAGGGATTTGTTTTTTGTAAAAATAGCTGTTTGCATTTATACTGTTTAGAAATGTATTTATTTGTTAAGAAATATATTGAAAAATAATTAAAAAAAAACATTTCTAATTAAAAGACTTTTGTTTTATATTTAGTAATTAATTAAAAAATATCAGCATTTTTCTTGTTTCTTATATTTCTAGCCCGATTTTCTAAAATGCAAGACAAAAACATGAATTTATCTAAAGTTATATGAAACTTAGTTAACTAGACTTTTGATGTGGATCAAAAATATATTTTCTTAACTTGAGAGCTTTGCATCAATCAAGACGTTACATATTTGATGAGTAAATTATAATACCGCCTGTTAAATATGCGCTTGCAGCGTTAGTTATAGTTTTGGTTGTAGTTGTTTCTGTAGATGTAGTTGCAGTTGCATCTGTAGTTGTAGTTTTAGTTGTAGCTGCAACATTGATGTTGCCATCAGCGACGGTACTTCGTGGCGCGTTGCAATTTTTATGACATTTCATTTGCATGCGGTGCAAGGCAGCAAAAATAAATTAAACGGAACAACGACGAGTAGCAAGCGGCAAGTGGCAAGTGGCAAGTGGCAAATGGCGAGTGGCGAGCAGAGAGCAGCGATGTCGGGTTGCAGTTGAGGATGAGGCATGGAATGCCCATCTGGCTTGCAAAATGTTAACAATATGGCGTCCACAGCTGATATTGCTGCTTTGAAAGCGCCTTGTCTGCATTTGGAAGAAGACGAGGCGTCTGTGCCATTTGGGCGTCATTTTAATTAATTCAGCTTGCGCTATTGCTACGATGTTTTGCATTTAAATTAGTTGCATTTGCATTAATTGGCTGAAAAATCTGTTTGCAATATATATATATATATATATATATATATAAAGAATGAAAAATAACCAAACAATGGCATTTCTACAAACATTTCAAAAATCACATGTCTGTATTATATCGCTTCAAAACTAATATGATTACTGAGATGAAAGCTTTGCTGCGAATACAAATTCGGAATGGAAAATTTCTATTTACGTATATGTCTTTGTTATGTTAATAACGAAAACATTCTTAGTTTACATTGAAATTCAAATAAAATATAATGTTTTCAATCAAATCAAGTAATGTAATGTAAATTCGTTGTACTCTTGCTTAGAGTAGGCAAAATTAACTAAATATTTTAAATTAAATTCCATAAATTTGATGAATAATAATAACTTTATTTTTAAATATTTGTAAACCTAACTTAGGAACAGTTGGTCGAAAGTTTTAAGTTGTAAGATTAAGATATCCATAGATATCCATGTCAGCATTTCTGGTACGTAAGAAACACAATACTATCTAGAACTTCGGACTAAAATTAGGATGTCGGCCAGTTAACTTTGGTCTACAATTCGCGTCGTGCTTTCTTTTCTTTCTTATTATTTTTAGCTTCGATATTTTGGGACTTGTTGAAAAAAGTAGCACAGAAAGAATGGGTTAGGTAATATTTGTTTATTTGTTAATTAAAATATTAGAACGTCTTACAAAATGAAAGAACCAACTATTAAATATTATATATTAAGTAGTAAAAATGTGCGGATTCTGACACAGTAAATGGTGAACTGTGTATTCTAACACAGGAACTGGTGCAGCGGCCATGACAGTTTTTGGCTTTTCCGGTTGATCGTGGTTGCGGCAACTGCCGGGTTGCCGGGGATGTAAAGCCTGTTTTCAGAGTGGCATTGTGGACTGCGGTGACTGAGTTGCATTGTGAGGCTGTGCTGGCGATAGATACTACAGGGCGACTTTGTGACGCTGGACGTGGCGCGTTGTTCGACCGGCTTATGAAGCAGTGCTTCTGCCACAGATCCAAAAAACAGTCAAAGGAGGGTTGAATAAATTACTAAAAGGTATAGAAAAAGTAAATACTTCCCTAGCTTAATAACAAGAAATATGAAAATCGTCTTCTTCTGTGTCATTTACATTCCTATGCATATGAGGCTTAACTAATTGTCGGGCAGCAATAGAAAATCGCTTACAACTTGGCTGAAATGTTTTGTGCAATTTTATATTTTTGGCACAAAATATTGTATTGCACAAATCGGCAATTGAAGAGTTCGCACATTTTTACTACTAAAAAATATATATTTAAGTAAAAGAAATGCAAGAGTAAAAAACAAAATGACTGCTGTGAATGTGTGTTCTTTTGGTGTATATGTATATAATCCAAAAGGTTTCGGATTATTTTTAAGCACTCGATTATATTAAGTGCATCCTCATTGATTCAACTTATTTACATTAAATATAAATACATTTGAAGAATAAGCTTGTTGATTTTTTGTTTCGCAATCCGCAAAACATTAACCAGCCAGGGGATGTGGTGATGGCGATGGGATATGAGTATGGGCAAGGGGGAGGTAAAAAAGATTTCTTTCATCAGCCAGTTGCTTGGATATTTGCGTGTATTTTTCCGAGTCACTTATTTGCGTTAGTCATTTGTATAGGCCTTTTGCAGCTGCGACGCATCGTCAGGGCCTTGATTGATAGGTGGCCTCAGTTGCCACCCACTGTCAGTTGCCTCGTTGGGACCTTGCCAGCAATTGTAAGCTGCATTTGTTTGCTGCCACAAATGGTAAGTGGTGGGGCACGTAAGGCTGTGGCAAAACATATGAGCTTTATTTTGCCAGCTACTCATGGCATAATCATCAGGATGAAGTGGCCGATTGCGATTCGCTTAATTAGCTCATTTCAAGTTGCTGGCATTAAAATAACATTCTGTGTATGTTGCTTTTGCATTGATTCGAATTAATTCACAGCCAGCAGACATCAGTAACTGGATACTGAGATGCATGCAAAAGTCGTGCCAATTCTAAAAATACCTTCCTAGTTGAAGTTTGACAATTTTTGACGAAGATATGGCCATTTATTTAGAGGTTGACCCTATTTAAATGTTTTAATTTATTTTCGATTTTTTAAAGGATATCCCCTAATATCTTTCTTAGATGAGTCTGAAGTCAATTTTTTTAAATGCAGTTTTGTTTCAAAAGTCGTGCCAATTCTAAAAATACATTAATATTTGAAATTTGACAATAAGGTATTTTCGATTAAAAATAAATTAATATAAATAATTAGTCTAAGCATAATACAACACATTGAGGGCATTGTGTCCACCCAGAAGACAGACTTTCGTCGCTTTGAATATACAAATATTAATATGCATATGCATAAGTATGTGTGCACATTTTCATTGTTTCTGTGTGTGTGTTTGTGTGTGTGTGTGTGTGTGTGTGTGTGTTAGCATACAAGTGGTTTGTTTGTTAAACTTGTTATTTGATTGCGTGCATGACCGCTGAGTTGGCTTTAAACGAAGGGAATGGTAGTGGTACTGTCTCATTATGTACGTAAGTACTTTATCATTATGGATACGTGTAAGCCAGTTGTGTGAATCATTCGTTGTCATGGATATAAATTCGCCGACCAAAAGTCAATGATTTACCCAAAAAGTAAATATTGCCTTTTGTTAATGGGTAAATTCGATTATCTGTTAACGTATAAATGTATTTTCAGGCGGATGATAGCTTGTGTGACTCGTTTCCTTCACGTAAATGATTACAAAAATTTGCCAATGCAAAAACTATATTTGTTGCAGATTTCTTATATGTGATGATGATTTTAATCAATCAGAATTAGGTAAAACATATTTAGAACAAATCAAGATTAAATATGTATACAATAATTATCATAAATTACATAACTAAACTTATAAAATTTTCGATTATATTTTATTATTATTATTTTTCTTATTTATGAAAGCTTTGTTGTGATAAAAATGCTATGTTTTTCATTAAAATTATTGATAACCGAAAATCTTTTTAGAATAT